GTACCCCTCAAGAGATGGTGCTCCTTTTGGTTCTTGTCTTTTAGGGTTTGTTTGGTTTGGTTTTGTTTTCCTCTAGAGGAAAACATTAGTTACAGGTACAACTTCAGAACCTTTAGGGTAACATTCTTAGCTTTTACCGAATGCTAAGTGAAAGAACAACCACCAGATACTCCCATGCCACTGTCCGTCTTGTTATACTTGTCTTCCTTTCCCCATAGGCTGGTCTGTGCTGGTGCTCCAGCAGTGGTGACAGTGAGGTGATGCTGCAAGTGTAGTTCTCTACCGCTGGGTCAGCACCAACACTTCAGTAGCAAGGGCAGAGTTGGTATTAAAAAGGTCAGTTGGGAAAACTTTCTTCATTTGGTTTTCCTTTGCCTTGAGGCAGTGCTTTGAATAGTGTTAACCCTTTTTTCTTCCCACATGACACATTTTCACTTTCTTTCCCTCCTGCCAGCTTTGGTGCAAAATCACGTTCAAAATGTAGTGGGGGTGATTGTGCACATCTCTTGGGGTGAGAGTGACCATTTGTGCTTGGAAGTGTTGCCATGTGCTCTGGGAGTAAAATCTGCTGCTCTGTGTAGAAGCTTAGTAAGGGACCTGTGCATCAGAAACAGTTTGGAGATTGGTGTAGCAATTCTTAGGTATTTCAGTCTCAAGGGTAAATGATAAACTTTGTTTATTCAAATGCGATATCCCTCTTTGAAGTTCTGTTCTTGTCTAAATTTGTATACTAGAAGATCTGGTCTTCATTTAAATAATCCTTGAGTTTTTTTTCTACCACTTAGAGGGGGGAAAAAAAAAAAAACAAACCAAAAACCAAAAACCAGTAGGAAAGCCTTGAATAAGCTAATAGCATTGCTAAGATGGAAATGATGAAGAAGGCTCAGGATTCCTGTTTGGGCCTCACGGGAAAAAGTGGTTTGAAGTGCATGTGTGGGGGGGTGCACATTCCTAAAACTGTCATTTGTTTCCCCTGTTTCTCCTCCCCCCTCGTGTTCTGTTCTACCTACTACGGCATGTTTAATGAAACTAGTAAAAGTATTTGGCTGAGAGTGTTAATCTTTCCCTGGCCCAATTAGTGCATGGCTTCTACTTTAGCATTAATGTGGATTTTTTTCGGAAGGCAGAACAATGAGCAGCTTTGTGCTACACACCAGGTTTTCCCCCTCCTTGCCTGTATTTTGTGTTTCTTCCTATCTATTCCAAAGGGAGAGCTCATGTGCAAAGACAGTGGAGCACTCTGGAGCAGAGACCTTTACCAACTCCCAGGGGCCAGGACGTGCTGCTCCGTGCTTGTGTAGCCACCTCTCGATGGCAAGTCAAGTGACTGTGACTCTGAAGACTCATCATTTCTTCTCCTTTCTTCTTCCTTCCCCTGTGGCCCATGTTCTCCTTTTTGCTTCATCTGTGATGCTTTTCACCAGAAGGAGAAGCAGCTGTAACTGTTGAGAGGGGTCTTAAACAAGAAAATCAAATCCACTTAAATACACATAAGTGAAGGGGAGAAGTAGCTGTTGATGCGCAATGTAATCACACTTTATCCCAAAGGAGGAAATAGGTCTAGCAAGTGTCTTCCTGTACAGACTGAATGGGAAGCAACAAGGCTTTTTTTTTTTTTTTTTTTTTTAGTGCTCTGCTTTCTCAGTGACTCTTCCATTAGCTGGTTATGTGCGGCATCAAGGGTGGGCCTCTGTCAGAAGCAGGAGCTAAAGCCCCCTCAGGTTTCTCTGCAGGATCGAAGTTGCCTCAGTTTCATGGTTTCAGCAGCAGCATCAAATGGAGGGGACATGTTCCTCCAGAAGAGCCAGGTCTCTTGGTGTGGCTGTGCAAAGAGGGCTGCTGTGTTGTTCTGTTTGGTTCCTTCCCTCTGTATGTTAGTGCTCTTGCTGTCACTTGCTCTCTGCTTTTCCTCCTTTTCACAAAGGATGACTGTGACACAGGGGGTTTCTTCAAAGTAGAAGATGACTCGAATGCTTGTGACCACTTCTCTGTTTCCTAGAGGCTTTCGTCCAGTGTTGAATGCAACCTGAGGTTGCACTGTTTGCCAGCTTATTTCCTGTTCGTCCTCTTTCCTGGAGGTCTTTGTTTTCTTTTGGGGAGAGGGAGGAAGAAGGCTCCATCAGCACGACCTCAAAGCAGGGGCATTTGATGTGAGCTGAGAAGGCTTGCAGTCCTGAAGGCAGCATGGCATAGGGCTTCCATGCTGGTTGCTTCCTATCTGATTCCTTGAGTTTCATAGGTGCTATGGAAAAAAAAAACAAACACTTCCCCATCCCCAGTGATGCATTTATTTAAAGAAAAGAAAAAAAGGGGAAAAAAAAGCTGCAAGAGAAATCTCCATATGTTTCTGCCTAAAGGCTCTCTGCCACGGGTTTTCCCACAGGAAGGAGTGATTTGGCCCAGTATTCTTATTGTTTCTATATCCTATTGCAAATAGAAAGTTATGCTTCTGAAATCGGTGTGTGCTGCTCATGCAGTTGCCTTTGTTTCAGTAGTGCATTTTTGCTTCATGACAGAGAGTGGAAAAGATATGTAAATAAAAGCATGCAACAGTAATACTGATTTTTGCAGAGATTAAGTTGCGATCTTTTGACTGCTTCCAAAATAGGAAGTTTTTAATATATGGAAAGTGGTTTTAAAAACAACATCTGTGACTATACATCTTTGTTTGCATTAGCAGGAAGATACTTAGATTCAGAAATAAAGTAACTGTTTGTTCATAGAAATTATGAAAGGCTGTAATAGCGCAATTCATAGTTTTCTTCCTGAAAGAAGAACAGAGAGCAAGCTGGCAGGTGTTTCTAAACCAGGAGTTAGGTTTGTTAATGTGTTAATGTGTGGTAATGTGCCTGCCTCTTCTCTTTGTGATGAACATTTCCGATTTTCACTGTTGCTAAAAGCAGCACTAGGAATTCTCACGCTAGTTCTCTGGGAAGCTCCTCAACTATTTTAAAGTTTCTTTGACTAACACAGGAGTCTTCACAGTTACACAGTAGATTGACTTTTTCCAGGATGAAGCAGTGGTGACATTAAATATCCTAGGTATTGACTGAAAGAGGATTGAATAGGTCTACTTTGGAAGGAAGAGTTGTTTTGTTTGGTTGGCCTGTTTTAAGGACTAAAGCACTTACTTGCATTGCTTTAACAGAAATCCTTCCAAATAATTTAAACTGATCCTTATTTTTGGTGGTGATATACACCGAGCAACTTAGTGTGTAGTTGCTTGGTGTATACAGCATCTTAGAAGACTTAGACCAGTCTCAAAAATAACTCTTGTGCGTATTCTATTCAGAATTAAGTCAGTTACCACATAAGTGATTAAAAAAAGATAGGGGAAAAAAAAAAAGAAATTACTATGTTGCTCTTGAATGAGATGGACATTTTTTAAAAACAAAATAACAGCAAAGTTAGTTAAGGACAAACAAAATAAAAACAAACAGCTCCCATAATTACTGGAGAAAATACAGAAGGATGTGTGCTTGGCCTCACCTTGGATCAAGAAATCCCTGTGTTGCATGGACCACTAGTGTTTTCTTAGCAGAAAAGTACAAAAATGACTAGGGAAGAGTTACCTTGAGTTGTTCAGGATAGCGTAAAAGTAGTCTTTTTTTGTCTGTTTTTGAAGATGCAAATTGAAAACAGTGTTTGCTGAGAAGCTGGTGTTACCCAGAGCCTTAGATGCTGGGCTTTGACAGGTCCTAGGTTTTGTCTCACTATGTCAGATCATCTGTGTGCCGCTCCTAAGAGGGTCGGCAGCTAAACGTAGGAAGCTGGAATCTGCTGCTTTGTCTGGCATTGCGTGAGATGAGGAACTGCTTGACACAAGCTGGGGCCTTTCTCTTTGTCTGCCTTTTCTTGTGTGCTCTAAAATGTCAGTAGTTAGGATAACATAGTCATTTATTGTTTGCAAATGCTGTTCAAACAGCATTTAAAGATGTGTTACGTGACTGATTTGCATGTCATCCTTGAGAATATGTTTTTTTTTAAAAGGAAGAAACCCTGTTGAGATAACCGCAGTTTGAGGCAGATGGTCTCTGCTTTCTGAAAAAAGGAAAACTTGTGTTAAGTTTGCTGGATGTGATTTGTGAATCTGAGGTAATGATACGTCCACAGTGTGTTCGTTTCCATAATGAAAAAAATATTTTCCTTGTAAGGTTATAAAGGTGTATTTCTCCATTAAAAAGGTATCAGTAGTTTACCATATTACAAATAACCTTTTCCAGAGGCTGTTACTGTGGGGGTTGCAGGCAGAGAACTCCTCTTTTTCATACGTTGATCATTCCCTGTCACCTCTAAAAGCGATGTTCAACTACCCTGTCATTCTACAACCAGAACAGGCATTCTTCCTGAAACCCCGACGATAGCATGATAAGTTTGTGGTTTCAGAAAGGGGTGTGGAGAAATTCTGTTGGCACATATGATGGTTGCTTATGTCTTCAGCTCATCTGGAAGCCTTGGGCAGTGGGTGTGAGGAACGTGCCAAATGGTCCCAGAAACCTCACTAGTCATTTCACCACTGCTAGAAGGAAGAAAAAGGTCACCATGAATTCATGTATTGGAGTAAATGTTAATCCTCCAAGAAGAGAAGAGGGGAGGAGTGTGTGTATGAAACTGAATTACTTAAATTCTCTAGCTGCAGAATATTCTTCCGACTTCTTAACCAAATGTCATGACCATCAGTGATGTGCTAGCTTTCTCTCTCCTTCTCTCCCTCCTCCTTTTTTTACTGACTGAATACTGGGGACTAAGCCAGTAAGGGTTTCCTTTCTTTCTTTGCCCAGATTTCACCGCTGGCAGAGGCAGCAGCATCTCCCAGCCCAATGCCCAGCCACTCATGGGAGTGGGCGCTTGGCTGCGTTGACACTGTTTACGTGCTTCTGTCATCAGACCTACATACTAGTCAGGGGAGCCTTTAAACGAAAGGGCTGTAGTCTCACTTTGCTAAAATGGCTTCCAGAAAAACTGACTGCCTTTCTCTTTTTCCCTTCTCCCTCACATAGTGCTAGAGGGTGCTGCTGAAGAAGAAGCTGAAGAGCCAGATGCTACTATACATACTACACTAAGTGAGGAGACCAGCAACCACGAAGAGAGCCACAGTCAATCAGGGGATAAAAATGAAGGTAACTGGTTTGACTAGCTCTGTGTGACTCTGTAAATGAGGGCATTGATTAAGGCTTGTAGAAACATTTCTTACCCATTCATGCTCCTTATCTATGTGAAGAGTGTAAGATAAATTGAGCAGAAGCACTGGTGCATACATTTATTTTCCCATCCCTAACCTTTATCTGTCTGAAAAGATAAAATTGTTTGAGCAGAAGCATGGGCACATAAATGCTCAACTGCCACTGCAGGCTTCCAAACTAAGATTTTCTTGGCTCCTAGTAACTTGGCACCACATTACTTAGCCTCAAAAAACCACCTGTTTATAATGCTCAAACTTATCTTCCAAAGACAGTATTATGTGGAGATCAAATGTTCACAGACAAATGTGTTCCTCGTTGTTCACCCTGACATCCTCTTGTGTTAGTGACTTTCTCACAGCACATATTAAGAAGTGACAGAGAAATGGACTTGCAGGGTGTTCCTGTTTGTTTGGGAGACTTATTTTGGGGGAAAGGAGTGTTTAGTTTGAAAACATTTGCCTTTTCAAACTTGTAAAGAGGAAAGTGGAAGGCCTTACCTGTGTGTTTGACATGTCTGTATGTTGAGAAACCAGAGATGAGATTTTAGATGTGTTTCGAATTTAGTATCAGAGACAGGAGCATCCCTGCTGCATACAGAATGTGATGGAGAAGTCCGAATCTGAACAGCTGTAGCCACGTCATTAGTCGTGAATGTTACATGGACTAATATGGCTTGGTAGACCAAAAAGAAAAAAAATCTACATAGATGCTAGCTGTGGCAGTAGAGAGACATTTGGAGGGATTTGGGGTTTTGTTTTGGTTGAGTTTTTGCTAATTTAGCTTATTTCATATACAGAGCTCGCTTAAGCTATGCTAGAAAGAGAACCCAGTACCCTACACTGTGTTACTAAGGCCTTAATTGTGCAGTTCTGCTCAAAACATGTGCTTGCTTGAATGATCGTGCTTGCCAGAGTGTGCATTCATCAGTACTGCTCTACTAGTTCATGGTGATCACAAGGTACCACGAATAATACTATTTTACAGCACGAGAGTTTAAGGTATATTGCTGTATAAGCCCCATACTGAATTAAGGTTGAAAATGAAAATAACATGAATGTCCTATGAGAAGAAACGTACACTTTGTCCTATGCATTCCAATATAAGAAACTTTTCCTGTTACAAGAACTGCAGTTACTATGGGCACTTGCCTGTGTTCCATGATGATCCAGCAGAGTGTGATGCAAGTTACAGGCAGATGAAAATACTGTGGGTTTTTTTTCAGATGGTCTAGCAACTCCTATGTGTGTTTTTGTTTTTAATTCCAGAGAAGCAGCTGGAAAGCTTAAACAACTACAAGGTATCACCAAGTTCACCAAACAGTTTGGACGGAGCAGACTTGTCCTCCATTGACGCCATGATGTCAGCAGTGATGAATGTGGGGAAGATTGCTGAAAACGGTGGGAATTCTCAAAATGTCAAATCGCCCTCGAAGTCTCCTGCACCAAATCGGATTGGCAGGAGGAACCAGGTATGTAAACCCAAATGCAGGGAGGGCGAAGGGGAAACAAGCAGCTGTACGGGAAGTGATAAGACATAATTATATTTCTTTGATTGTTTTGCCTTTTTTTCCTTCAGTGGGTATTTTTTCCCTCCACCTTGCTCCTCTATGTATATTTTCTGGCGGCTCTTGAGAACATAACTTTAGAAAACTGGGAATCGAAGGGGTCTGCTTGCTTGGATTCACACATAAAACATTGGAGCATGAGCTCTGATGTCATGCAGTGGTGAGCTGGTCTAGGAGATGCCACTAGCAGCGGCAAAGCCACTGAAGAATTGCCGCTTCTTACCTGCTGCATCCTTTCTCCAGGCTCTTACATTCACCTTAATCTGTTGAGGGACCAAATCATTTCATGGAACTAGGATAAAAGAAATAGCTCAGATAGGAGCAGAGCAGTGTGGCAGGCAGCTTGGCTCAGCCATCATGAGGGACCCCTCATGAGATGTGTGGCTGTCGCCAGGGAAGATCCAAGGGATTTGAGGTTAAAGGTCGTGCTAGAACAAAACATCCATCAGGACGCTCAGTTCAGATGTGTGTAGTGTAAGGTACCCTTACTTCATTGTTAATAAAACTATCAAAAACTATTGCAGAATGCCTTGTACGAATCTTGCAGAGCAAATAAATGTAGCTTTTATCAGTTTTTTTCCATTTACCAGTTGATGGCACCAGTTGATAGCAATATTGATCTAAACAAGTTAGAGAGAGCCATATCAGTTGAAGCTGTGATTATTTATATCCATGTTTTTCTCCTGCTGGGCCAAACCCTACTAATGAAGGTGCTGCAGAACATGAAGAAATACCCTAAATCCCTGTGTCCATTTGACTTCAGAGCTTGTGGTAAAGCATGGAGAATTTGTAAATAAGTGAAGATGCAACAGGGACCAGAAAGATTGAGAGACATGACTCATGTGATGTTCCTATAGTAGTTTATTAATAGCTTGCCAAGTAGCTGCCCGGTTGACAGACTTATGACTTGTCTTGGATCTTTTTGCTTGAAAGGAGTTAAAAGCCATTAACTGTAAATGAACATTCCTAAATGAAAAGTCTGGGCAGTATACGGGCAATTGTGTTTGTGGGATTGTATTGTCTGTCACCTGGCTTTAAGGTTTATTTGCAGTGTTCCCACTTAGGGGCTGCCCTGTTTCTTTGATTTCATCGTGTGAAGTGAGGCACTGGAGTTCAGACTGGTCTCAGTGGCAGTGCTGTTACACAGCTGTCTGCCGGTACACCATGTGGTTTGGCTTCAGGGAAGTTTATTAGCGTTAGTGACCTTTATTCCACCTGATATTTCGATGGGCATCGAATCAAAGGAAGCTTGAGAGTAAATGTGACAGGATTAAGAGGGATTCTTACAGCACAAAAATAAACAAATACATTAAAAACATAGTAAATAGCCTGTTTGTTTTTTAGGCTGAAAGATCATTATCACCAGAGGGGCAAATGGCTACATTACTGAGAAAACAGAAGTGAGATGTGAAATATTGAGTGGATATCAGTCTGGTTAACAACCTCTAATACAGTGTATTTCCACTTTCAGCATAGCAGAATGAAAGCGCTGAATTGTTTCAGCGTGTAGCAGCACACATATCTCACATTCTGGTCAGAATGTACCCCTTATTATAATTTCAACGATAATAACAGTTAGCTAGTTTTCTGGGTCTGACTGCTGTTTCCCATGAGTTGGCAGCAAAACGTTTTGCCCTGAACCTTTGTCCCAAAGTCTATGGTTCTTTTTATAATGCTGACTTTATGTTGGCTCTGGTCTACCCATAGTCTAATAAACATGTTCTCACATCAACCTGCATCCATTTTAACTTCTCATTTGCTTTGCTCTTGAAGAAAATAAAAAGTGTGACAAAGGTGTTTGGTTGAGCTGGAGAGCAACCAAATAGACCTAATGCACAACTCGAAAAGGATTTGCCATCAGTTGAAAGCAGAGCAGTTGTGCCAGGTTGACTTACTAAAGGAGAGTAGCTAACAAATTAGCTGCTAATTTTATCTTTCAGTTCAGGAGCTGTGTTTTCACCAGGCTGGCTCCAGTGGGGTGGCTGAGTGCTATGTTTTAAATTTGTGAGCAGGGGTGCTTTTACAGTAGGGATGCTAATGTTTTTTGGTCTGGATTGGGTCAGTCAACAGCATTCCTGTTGTAGCTACCCTGGATTTGCTTGAGCTGTGTTATGGTATGTGGCATGTACCCTGTGTGAACACTGGAGAAAGTTGGGGGTTTAGTTAATAATAAACCCCAGATTCAATACTAATCAGCTCTGGCTGAGCTATAGTGTGTTTCTGATCTTTGCTTCAAGGTGAACCAGTAATTACTCTATCTTCTGTTAATTTGCTGATTCGAAGAGCAGGCAGTCTGGAAAACAGGCTTTGAAACAATCAAGTGCATCATGTAGAACTGCAACACTCATTTAAGGGGGGGGTGCGAAAGGCGGGGAGGAGGGCAGAAAAAAAAGTAGTAGGTTGGTAATTTCACAGCAATACCCTGGGGATTAAACACCATCTAAACTGTCAGCACAGCTGCAGGGATTCTCCTCACGACACAGTGTGTTTGTTCTCTGTCCTGAACCAACTTTAACAGGGTTGCAATATAATTGGAGCTGAACATTACTCCACAGACAGGTTGCATATAGTAAAATTAATGTTGTATAAGTAGAATGGAATAAGCATGTGCGATATATATGTTGGTATGTAAAAAGAGGGGGGGTGCACTGGGATAATGCATTTTAATTTTCTTGGGGTGTTCAGGCTTCATAATGGCAGCCTTTTTTGCTTGCTTTCTAACGTTTTGCAAGTAATAGTACATTAGGCCTTGGCCTGTGTGCATGGCCTAGAGTGATTATCTTTAGGATGGAGAGCTCTGAAATACAGTTAGAAAAAGATGTACAAGAGAAAAAATAGGGAAGAGTAGGAGAACCTAATCATTGCAGTCCTGATCCTTTCAGAAGTGAAGTCACAGTTTTGTTTACTTCAGACAAAATGGGAAAACAGCTCTTCATTCATGTCCACAGGTCACTGAAGTTTATACAAAATTATCATGGCCCTATTTTTGAAAACACAATGTTAGATTTTAATAGGGGACTCTCTAGAATGGTTCCCCAAATCTTGTAGGAGAGGATGTTGCTTTATTGAGACTTAAAAAAATCTTTCTCTAACACTGTGTCATCATCTTCCGTCCTAACATGCCAGAGAATTTGTCACAAAGACTTAGGTTAGTCGTTCTCAGTGTTCCCCACAAATGCTTGTATCTGACAATCTGGAAATGGTTGCTTCTGAGTTTGATGACTTTTGGGATGGTGATGGAGGAAAAGAGTTGTGTGGAGAGAGGAAATGCACAGATACACTCATACCCATCAACTCCCTCCCAACTAGAGCTCCCTCCCTCCAAGAGCTACTGAGGGCGGGTTTTCTTTTTTGCTTGTTTTCATGGTTTTACTAATGATACTTTACATAGGCAGCAAAGAGGTTCAGTAAAATGTGTCCTTTTGGCATAAATGTTATACTTTCCCATTGGTCCTACAGAGATGGTTTTCATACTCTCTTGTCACCAGAAGTGTAGGTAACAGGCAGTGGATCTACCTAGCTGATGAGGATTTGCATCATTCTACAGAAAACTGAGGTTTAATTTTCAGTGGCCGATGATCTTCCTTTTAATATACAGGCGTTCGTGCAGAAGCGATGCCTGGGCTTCATAGTGAAGTGGTGAAAGTACCCTTTATGTCATACAGTAGCCATTCTTGCTGACAATTCAGACAAACGCCTTTGGTTCCTGCGAGAGTGCCATTTCATCCTTGGCTGAAAGAGTGACGGTTTTGCTCAGTGTCTCAAGGGCATACTTAAATCAGGCTGAGCTCTCCGGTCGGCTTCATTGTTTGTACTCATGGTTTGACCATGGTTACTCCTCATTTTCACCTGGGTGGAGAATAACCGGGTTCATAATGTGTTCTTTTTGAGTCACGTACACTCCTGCATTGTCACCTCTTTCTCAGCATGATCTCATGAGATCTTGCAAGCTTCAGAAGGGTTGGGCCTGGCTGGTGTGCCGGGATGGGATGCTTCCAGGAGAAACACAGGATGCTAAGGGAAATGGTGCTGGTGATTCAGTAAACGCCGCGCTTCCTTCGGAGTCAGCCACGGAGCAGAACATACAGCCCCTAGAAAAGGGCACTGGGCTAGTGCCTTGCCATTGAGATGGGGTGGAAAACCTGAAGTCCTGATGACTTGTGCTTATTAAATATCTTTTGGGAAGATTAGTGGCATTTGCCCACATATTCTGGTGGCGTTCCAGGAATTACTTTCTGCTCACCTAAATTCCTCCTGGCAATTTGAGCTGGTCGCAGTAATTGCCTTTACTTCCTGTCCTAAACTGCTACTGCTGAGTATCCGAGTGCTGTTAAAACAGCTGCTGTACTTCTGTGGTAGTTGAAATGGCCCCTGTTTATAAATTCAGAAGTTTCTGAAACTTCCCTGAGGGATCTACAAGGATGATAAATGCATACGTGCAAGTTGTTCTATTAATGGCCTTCTATACATAGGATGGGTTATATTTTTCCTGTCCTCAGCAGCTTTCAAGTTCTTTTATGTCAATATTCCTTCTGATTTTTTTTTTTTTGCTTTGTTTTGTTCACAGGAAACAAAAGAAGAGAAGTCTTCCTATACCTGTCCTCTGTGTGAAAAGATTTGCACTACACAGCACCAGCTAACTATGCACATACGTCAGGTATGCAGAGTACTGGCTCTTGATTTGTTACTTTTATTAAGAGTGCCTGGTTTGCCAGGGCACATTTTGCAGTGGTGAAAAACAATTCCATGTGCAAACCAGAAATGCTTCCATTATAACTTGTTTTGCTTTTATTTTAACCTTCCCCTTATGTCTTCTTTAAAAAAAAAAACACCCACAAACCCAACCCCGAGGTGGGTAATTTTCCTCCCTTCTTTTCTCAACACTCCCCCCCCCAGTGGTTCAAACAAGGATGTATGTCCTGTTCTGCATAGCTTTAGTTATCCCAAAGATCCGGAAAACCACTTCCATCATGAGGCATAAGTCCTGCTTTTGTTATCTTGTTTGAGTGCAGATCTCTTTATTGGTCATGCAAATTAAGAAGCAGGAAGACACAATTTTTAAATCATCTCAGTGTGGAAGAGCTTCTCAGTCCTTCACAGGGTATAGCAATTTTGGGAGGCAGAATTAAAAATACATTTTTTAAATGGATGATGCACTTTTTTTGTCAGCTACAGGCCTCTTCTTGCTCCTCTTGAAATATATGCATACTTTATAAAGAGATTTGGCCTTTTCAATGTCAGAAGGTTCTCCTTTGGATGTTAAGGTTGTGGTTCACCACTGTGAGTCCACTAGATACTTACTACTTCAGTTTTCCCTCCTGTACTGTACCTGTTACTTCTTTTTTTTTTTTTTTTCCCTTACTCTCCTGGCAGTTTTTTTTGGGTTATGTGAAGAAATCTTCAAATCTCTGAACGCGAGTAAGAAAGAGTGGTACATACAGCACAGTAACTAATGGCCATGTTTTGGCCCTGTAATGTATTTATATGGCCATAGAAATCTGCATGTGCACTCAGAAGCAGTTTACTTCTGTTTTCTTAGTACACAGTCAATTGAAATTAATATCTTTAAAGAGTATTTGTTTTTAAGTATCTTTCTTCTGCCATGAAGTTCATCATTACATCCTCTTTCTGTTTTCCCCCTTACCACTCACCCAACCCCAAACCACGGCACAGCTCAAAGTATCGCAAGGTACTGTTTGTCTGATGGGTTGTTGCTGAATCCCTTTCTATCCTCTCCTGCTGCACAAGCAGCTGAAACGCTGCATGTGGCAGGCATTGCAGGCTGTGTGAAACAGCTACTTGTGCTGGTGCATTAAGGAGTTAAAAATGAAGGATGGGGGTGGAGTTGAGGGGGGAGGGCTGGGGAGGAGAGGGATGTATACAGGGCACACGTTAATATAAGGTACTGTGCCGAGTGGCTCTTTAAAGCTGCTTTTAATATGTTTATAGTTCTTGCTAACATTTACTGGCACTTCACAAGGGGCATTCAATGAAAAAAAAAATCATTGCTTTCTCTAGCATAACACTGACACTGGAGGGACAGACCATTCCTGCAGCATCTGTGGAAAGTCTCTGAGCTCAGCGAGCTCCCTTGATCGCCACATGCTGGTGCACTCAGGTGAAAGGCCTTATAAATGTTCCGTATGTGGACAGTCCTTCACCACCAATGGAAACATGCACAGGTGAGTGCTGATTGTCACCCAGGAGTTTGGAAAGGATTATAGGATAGGGGGCGGTTTTATTTCCTCAGAAGGACTTGCAGGCTGACTAAAGACACTTCTTGGCCAGAAAATGTGGACTATCTGTGATCTGCAAGTATGGCATGACACACATGCACACTTACAAGTACTAGGATGCTTAAGTTGTGGTCCTCCCATTCAGAATTGAGAAAGCTCTTCTAGCTCTCTTCATGTATTATCAAGAGTTGTTATGGATGTCCAGAAGTGGTTTTTTTGTTTTATTAGTAATATTATTATTATTTTGACAAATGGGATGGATTTTTCTCAGAGGACAAAAATATATAGCCAAGCTGTATAGGAGCTTCTAATTTTGTAGCTTCAGAGTCATGGATGCAAGTGGTTGTATTGGGACATCTGTGGTGTTGATGTATGTTATGTAGTTAGGTATCCAAGTGCCATTGTGAAGATGCCTCTTCAGAATAATTGGTCTTGTTTTTAAATACATACACCAGTACTTGCTTGCACTATAGACAACTTACTGCACTATAGATCCGGGAAATTCTCTGTAACCCAAGTTGCCAAACATATTTCATGTAGTTTCCTTTGTAGGGATGTAGCAATATGTACAGTCGTCAGTCGGGGAAACAAAATGTTAAATCACATGGATGTTCCTTTACACCTCTCATTCCCCAATTCGGTATTCATTTATTTGCATGGGTGGAACACCTGCCTCAGAGCTTATTAAAACTTCATGAATTCCCACATAGCTTTAGTCCCCGTATCAAAGAGTTTACAACCTACAAAGAAACTGCAAGACAGATGGAGGAAAGGAATATAGCTTATAAGCAAAATGGCAAAAGTGATGGTTACAAACTGGTTCTGTGTGGGAGGGAAGAGATCTAGTTTCCTTCATTATTACCAGTCATTTTCCAAGCAGTGTGGCATAGGTGGAATGAAAGGGGTGATTTCAGTGACAATAGGAAAGATAACGTAATGCCGCAAAAAAGGAAACAATAGCTGCTTGTAGCTTTACCTTTTCTGTGTCATATTGTCCAGGTTAAACAGCTAATGTGAAAACAGAGGAGAAATGGGAGGGAATGCAATTTTTTAATTCCATATTTATTTAACTTATACTTGGTTGGAATTGGGGAGAGTTGGATGGAGAGATGTAAAATGAGAACAGAAAGACACAGAGATGTTCAGAGGAGATACTGGCCTTGGGCATTGAATAAATCACACGTCTGACTCATTTGACCGGAGGTGTTGCCAGCCACATGTTTGCCAGACTGGGTCATTATTCTGTCTGCCGTGAGGAAGGCAGGGCAGCGGCTGATTTGCGGCTGATGCCACTGTCAGCGTGGAAGGGTGAATTCCAGTGCTGGGAGCCTGGGGTGGTCGGACACTTGTGTCCAGGTCCTCAGGCCGGGCTGCTTGCGCGATTTGTTTGGCTTTTTGCTGATTTGGCATCTCCTCTTCCTCTCCCAGAAGAAGGAAAGGGGGGCTTCCCCTGAGGCTTGACTCTGGGCCTGTCAGGTGTTGATGTAGTCACCTTTGCTTATGTGGGTTTCCCTGTATAGCAACTCTTACAGTGCTTTAGCAGCAAATTTGCCAGAATTGCCAGGCTCAGTGACTTGCCCAAAAGAAGCAGAGATCAGAACCTTCTGATGAGAAGATTGTTTGGTTTTAAACTTTCCTCCTAACAAGATAGATGTTGCTTGAAGTTACCAGGATGGAGTGCTGTATTTACTGACTGCACTAAGAAGGATCTAAGTTCATGCAAGGAAAATCTTTCTATTAAAAGTTCATTCCATCTGATAGGTTCCTGTCTGCTGTGTAAAACTCCTTGTGCAGGCCCACACCGCAGCAGCTCGATGGGACACTGCAGAAACCTGTTACTGAGCTTGGTGGCACTGCAAAAAGTGGTCCCAGATCTCTGACAGGCAAGATCCTGAGCACGCTGAAACAGGCTAGTTTTTCTAAAGGAGGTTGTGGTTGGCAGGACTGTGCCACCAATTTTTTGCAGTGAATAACCTTTTCTTGTTGCTATGACAGACTATAATAGTGAATCCTGTTGCTGAAGTGGAAAGCATGAATGTGCAAGTAGACAGCTGAGGATAAATGTGAAGTGAAATGAAATTTGTTATCTCGTGCTATGAACACTCACAAGGAAGATGTTCATTTTGCCCACCAGGTACCTCCTTCTGAAATAGGTATTTCTAGTCTAAGATGGTGTGAAGTAAATTCTTTTGTAGGCATCTCAATCTTGACTGTAGCATCAGGCCCAATGGCCTGCCCGTGCTGTGGCTGAATGCCTCTTGCATCACATTGAAAACTGCTTCTGCCTCAGGATCCTGGAGCAAGGACCTGCTTGCCGGGTCCTGCCTTATGTGCGTCTCCTGCCGGCCTTGCTTGTGGTGGTGCCGTGACTGTTCTTCCATGCCAGCTGGATGATAATACAAGTCCATCTTTCTCTGCTTTTGCGCACAGTTCCTTTATTGTTCACTATTTTTGTGCTGCGGTATCTAAATAGTGACAGGTATATGACCAAAACAGCAAAGAGTAGGATTTCTAATGTGCCCCTGGTAGCTAGCATGGTGGTATACCTGGAGCATTGCAGAGAGAGTGGAGTCAGAGAGAGAAGTTGTAGGTCTAGCGGGAAGTTGTGAATGTGCTGCCCAAGAAGCAATGTAGCTTGTGAAGGTCCTGCAGGAGCCTCGCAAGTATTACTGCATTTACAGCAAATATGCTCAGTGCATGGGAGAGGAGCAAGGGAGAAGTTAGTCTGCCAGTATCTGAACGAGGGGAAAAATGTGTAGGCACATGCTATGTACATCCTCTCTTCTGCGCCTTGTTCTGGCTCTTATTTAATGGTCTATAATATTTTTTTGATTCAGACTTTGAAAAGACCATTTAGGGGAAAAAGTCAAATGAAATTATTTTGTCCAGGGAAATATAGTGCCACAGGAGTGCTTATAGCTGTTCCATCACAGGATGAAATTTCTGATCCATTTTTCCACCTCATAACAGCCAGGTCGTTAGACATTCGGCTGAGTGGAGGAGGGAAGGAGGCAAGTTTTGGTTGCTTTTTTGCGTTAGAAAATGTCAGTGTTACACTCTTGAGTGCCCATCATCTCAGTTGAAAGTAATTTTTCTCCACCCTCTCTCTATTAAGGGAGAAAAAACCCTCCAGAGCTTATTTGTTGCTCTTCTGCATGACGGCCAAACTTTTTTGCAATAGCCAGACTTTTTGTGGAGTGAGAATGCTATTTTCTGTCCATCTCTTCTCTGAGTTAGTCTAGCTGTGCTGGGGTGTTGGGTATACTCTTCACCTGTGAAATTGATGCTGCCCTTCCTGAGTCCCACAATACATGCAACACTTCATTTGTAAATGAGTCATAGCCTCTAACATAAAGTCCAATTTCTTTTTGTTGTGCTCCTTGGCTCCTTGTCAACAAGTCAAGTTGAATGGGCACAGCAGACAGGGATGGAGGGGAAAGGTTCTCTTGTGCAGCACCATTCAGAAAAAGAGGTTAAAACCTGCTTCCTTTTCTGACCAGAGTGACTCTTGGCCAGGATTTTCAATGGGGAACTGTGAGCCTGGGGCATCTCAGAAAACTCTCTTACAGCTGCCAGACTGCTCCGGAGTTGCCTGAGCCTCGAGAGGGGACAGTCATAGTTGGAGAGAGCAAAAGTCCCTGGAGAGTGCTCAATGTCCAGAGTAAAAAGCTGATTTTCTCATTCTTCCGAATGTGCCATCCAGCTAACTGCCTCCGTGTCAGTGCTGCTCCTACTGTTTGGGGAGAGATGTTGCAATCTGATACGATAACTGGGAGATCCATCAGTGTCTCTTACCAGGAACGGGAATTGCTCTGGAGGAGGAGAACTGGAGACGATGCTGAGTTTTTTACAGAGATTTTTTTTTGACCAGTACTGGAAAGAACAAGTCTTCTTGGAGATAGCATACCTTCTAGCATCAGGACCTGATTTGGGGGTTTTGGGGAGTTGTTTTCTTGGGGCTTTTTAGGAATTTGGAGGAAGGAATTAAATCATAATTTGAGTTCAGAATTCCTCTAACTGGAATGGCATTGCAATGATCAGTACATAAGAAAATCTTCCATTTAGGACATGCTAATCCTCACACTGGTACACTAGAGAGACAGACGCTATGGCTTTCTCTCAGTCACAGTAAACTAAAGTTGAAGATTCTCAGATCTCCAGCAGGAGCATAAACTATATAGAAGGAGAGGGGATGTGTGTAGAAAGAGTTTTCTGTAGCTCTGAAAGAGCTGGGGATTCCCACAGTAGTGTCTCAAATCAAGAGATTGCAATTAGTAAAGGCTTTGCAAAGGCTTTCCATCTGCACTGTCATGGCAGCTCCCTAGGGAGTTTGTCTATGAATAATGCCAACTCTGAGGAGCCCTCTTGGGTCTCGACTCTGCCACCAAATAGGAGGTTGCAAGCCTCTTATTCCATCTCCACCTCTTCATCTCTCCAAACTCCAGACAGAGGAGTTAGACTACTCCTGCGGGTTTTAGTGGTGGTGTTGGTTTGTAAGCCTTAGCAAGGGACCTTGAGGTAGAGAAAAGACTTTGCTTGACTTATGTGTTGCATTCCGGTAGAACATGTGTCAGGCTTCAGGGGCAAGGGTGATGCTTGTGTTTACTTCCAAAGACTTTCCTTTGAGGGTAGGAATCTTTGCCAACAGCTGCTTTTCCATTTCTGTGACTGAGGATGGTCTGTGCCTATCGCTTTAAAATCACTTTTTCCTCCCTGCCAAAGACATTCTCTCCATGCAACTTGAAAATGTTAATAGGTTATTAATGCCAGAAGGGAGGCGAGAAATTACTTTCCTGCCAATTTCCAGTGGGTAGCTACTAAAGACTCTGTGGCAAGTCTGAAAAGAGTAAAGGGATAATACATGTATTTCAGCCACAGCTCCCCCAGTTTGGTACATGAAGCTGCAGTGTCCGTGGCCAGCATTCGCCAGGCTGTCCGTGTAAGTG